TCGATTATTAGTATGTGTTGGTGTTGTTTTCGGTGTTCAGATGAGGAATCAATAAACTCTAACGTGATTCTTAACATTTTTACAAGTTAGGGAAACGTTGGTTAAGGTTTTCAAAGGTTTGTTTGGTGTTATTTTTAGTAGTTTATCCCACATTTTCCCTCTACTTCAAAGCCCTGCCCACTTTGAACAAGTAATATTGTGGATAATTTTATCGGTTGAAATACTCGAAAAATGTGTTTATGTGGAATCTGAACATTTCCGTCGGAAAATGATCCGTGATGTAGACACCTCCTCACCAATTACCAACAATTCGGTACGCACAAAGTGGGTAGGGCTTTGAAAGGGGAAATTGTGAGGTAAAAACACGCTAGAACTGAACCAACCAACCAAAACCTAACCTCACCTTAATTGTCAGATCCCGGGGGATGGTGATCATACTTGTAGTTACTTGTCCAATCAAGTGGCGAGACTTCTTTGTCATGGCGAGTTTCCGCCCTTTAATATAAAACCAAAAGTTCGTTTCTTAATAGTGACAGTCTGAACCACACTTTGCACGCTTCAAAATAGTTGGCAGAATTCCACAAACAAGGGCTTCTTTTTCAAAGACAAGAATGGATTACCAAGCTGACAAACGGCCGCTGCACAGAGAATCCACCAATCATCTATAGCCAGTAAAATTCAAAATTGAGGTTACTGAGCGCAAGGTAGGTAGAACCTACCTTGACTGAGCATGAGCAGAAGTATCACGTGACACCGAGAGAAACGCTGACTAGGATTGTCTCCCGCCAAAATGTGGTCTAAAAAAATCGAAAAATATAAATTTGCGACGGAAACGTAATGAAATGAAATATTGTTGTTTTTGTTTTTGCTCTATCCACCCGTCAAAGTTATTCTTTGATCCCTGTTTTCTTCCTATACTTTAAGAATAAAACTATTGCTCTGGGAGAAAAAAATAATCGCCGGCGTCGGCCGGTAAGAATACTTGTATTTGGAAGCACTAAACAAAACCTTAAATCTCAGAATATGGACAAGCGAGAGTAACATTATCACTAAAAAGAATTACTACACCACTAAGGACGTCTTACCGTTGAAAATGTGTTGATGCTGCTTTTTTCAAGCACTGGTACGAGACCGTCGACATTATTCACGCAGAGTTTAACTTGTTACTGAACATATCGAAACAAATTGCCTGTGAGTCTGTGACGCCACACTCACGATATTACATTTTTGTTTTCAGATTTAAATATTTTCGACAAATTTTTAATAAAAGTGCATTCATTTGAATTTGACATAATTGATAATAGATCTCATGAATAGTGTTGTATAGAAAGAAAAATCATAGCCTACTATACTTTAAACGAAAATTTCAATATGATCCCGCAATCTGCGTAGCTATTTTAAATTCGTTTCCAATGCATTCATTGGTAAATATTCGATATAGGGTTGCGGCGGGATTTTGTTATAAAAATAGGTTTTCTGGTGTAATTACTGTAGGTGCGTTTCATGTAAATTTGACCTTTATTTCTTCTGCAAATGGCAATTTCTTGTTAGAAATCAATTTTAAGACAGCACTGTACACCTAATTACACCAGAAAAACCCATTTCATATAAATCAACCAATCAGAATACCGTCGTCATATCTGAGGGTTGGCGACCAGTCCCCACTATAAACGTTTTCGGGCTATTTTTTACCAATCCTCCAAGATTTTTTATTTCTTTGGGGGACCCAGTTTTTAATTTAATTCAACCATCCGTCCATGCCTTCCTTTCCCCTGGCCCTCCTACCCTCAACGTTGCCCATTAATGTTTCTGTTACTAGCCCCTCATCTGTAGTTATAAGATCAAAGTATCTCATTTTAATTTTCTGTACTTTTCAATTCTTTCTCTTGAAGTTTTTGCTGGCTTTTTCATTTGTTTTCCTCCCAGTGTAACTTATTTTTAACATACTTTGCCTATAACATCACATTTCAAAGTCTCTAATCCCTTTTTAGTGTTTTTGCTAAAAGTGCCCAAGCTTCTGACCCATACAACAATCCTTGCCATATAAATCCTATCAGCAGGTTTTTCTGAAAATGAATTTAATGTCCCTTTTCATTGGGTCCTTTAGATTATCACATGTCCCAACGGGACAAAGAAACAACATTAACAGAGACCGAATGTGAAAAGGAGCTTGGTGTGTTTGTTGACAACGAACTGAAGTTCTTGGGCCATTGTGAGGTGAATCAAGCAACTAAGGATACACAAATTTGACCTACCTCAGGTATGAGTTGTAGTTGATGTCCACGAATTCCCAGGGCATGGTAGTAGTGTTGGTGGCCGAGGTGGTGATGGACCAGTATTAATTGAAAATAAAGTCGGCGTGTCTGCTCTTCGATGTAGCAAAATTGTTGTCTGATAAACACTGATGTTAAACTGGCGTGTATATTCTTTGTTCCTGCTTGTACTGTTCTGTTGAATGGATAAAACTGGTGTAGGTCTTCCTCTTGCTTTGATTTCAGTCTTTTCATTTAATGTCAGCTGGGAAAAGTTTATGTTTTGCAAATACTTCACTCGATTTTCCATCGTCAAAGGGTAATTAAAGAAAGCACGATTTAACCACACCATCCACACGCAATGTAAACACGAGACTGAGCTGCTTCAAGTGCGGCGGCGGCGCCAATTAATAACAGACATGAATCGTACAGCATTGACAGCAACTATGAAAGTAACTTAAATTTTGGTCTGATTTTAATGAAAATTCACTTAGCAACGTATTGAAAATAATTAAATAACATATAAAATGATATATTTGTTGGTAGTGTATTATTCAGCTGTCTCTCTAAAGGAATCATACGCCTGGCAGTGAGTGTCTGGGGGGACTGCAGCTCTGCAGCCCTATGCACGAGCCGCCACTGATTGTGACCAACTTCTGGTAACTTGACCAGACCCTGCCCCCAGTCGGACCATCCCTGAGTACTGTCCCAGAGATGTGCTGGAGACTGCCAGTTGATTGAAAGTGTCCAAATGAGGGTCTGGTGCCTGTGCTACGGCACCTCAGTTACCCGGAACTTAGATCACTTGCAATTGCCGAGCTTATATTATAAACGAGAAAAGGGTGACTTAATTAATGTTTATAAACATCTCATAGGGTATTACTTAGTCGAGTGTTCAGACCTGGAGCTGGCAGACGCCCGCCCTACTTCGGGTCACAGCTCAAGGTTGAAGAAGCCACAAGCTCAGAAAATTGTCAGGCCAACTGTTTCGGGGTGAGAACTGTAAACTCTTGGAACAATCTGCCAGACTGTTTTGACGGCACCGAGTGTGAGTTCATTCAAGACCAAACTTTACCAACACTGGCGCAGGTAGAGATCCTTTCTGGAGCCAGGACAGTGGCGAAGAGGATAAACGTAAAAATCAAAGTAAAACTACTTTTTTTGAAGTTTGAATTCATGATCAGAGCCAGGCTTTATTTAAATAGTACATGTATACTTAAGGCATCACGATAGAATTCTCTTTCATGCTATTATGAAAGAAAAATTTGATATGCAAGGGGTACTCTTTCATTTTATAGGATATCACCAACCCACTGACACACTAGACTCCACTTCTTTTCTCTTGCAACCCATCCAAGTTCGTCCCGATTTTTCATCGAATCCTGCTAGCCTCTTCTGCTTCAAACACACCAGAGTTAATAGACCAATTGGTACAGTACGTAATGACGTCTGATAACTTCATTGTGTTACGGAAAATCGCACTGTCTTCTCAAAGCTCAGAGGCTGGTGTTTGACAAATTATAGCTAAATAATTTCTTGGCAAAGGTAACCCTATGTGAAGGTTTGTTAACCACTCAAATTATATCAAAGTGTGAGGCATAAATCAACTTTTGTTAATTCATGTTTATCTGAAAACATAAAACCAATTTGACTTTGTATGACAATGTTAATGATTAAATTATCTATCAAGAGTCCAGTGATCCGATTTCCTACTTGATTCTGAATCTCAAAACTCCGTACGTTGAATCATTACTGAGATGCAAGAACTCTGCTAAAGGCTGACTTAAACCAAAGGACAATATTATAACCTCTAATTTGGTCTAGAATTTAGACGCATTCATTTTAGCACCGATCAAAATCAACTTCATGACTGAAATCTAAATCCGGATTCAAAGACTATAAACGTCTGGACTCTGGTGTTGTGGGTTTGGCATGGTAAGTACTTTAATGGTAAATTAAGCTATAAAACAGATAATTAAGAAATGAATTGTTATAGCTGGTAGTTGAACAGTAACTGGTAAACGCCAGCAAAAAAAAATCCTGCATGAATTTTGATTCTTTGTTTTATGGAGATAGTTTTTTTTCCTGGGGGAAAAAACTAAATACTAATGTTTTCCAATCATGGTCAAATTAGTGTATTCATTTTTTCCGGAGAAATCAACATCTTCCTGTAAATAAAACCGTTAAGTGTATGCAGAAAATAAAAGTTTTTGCTGTTTTTATGTACACAAAAGAAGCGCTAACCTAACCCTCTCCTCTTGGGTGGATATGTAATGTAGTCAGTATTTAACTTATCCCTATTGGTAATTAGTTATGACTAACCCGCGGCCGAAATGGATTGAAAACGATAATTAAAACGCCTGATTTTCACTGTTATCTTAGGTGAATTTATAGTATCACACCGGTCTTTATTTCTGCATTAAAAGTATGTACCTCATTTTTATTCTACGATATTTCCACCGGATATTAAGGATAACCGAGATATTCATTTTTCAAGATTATTACTTTCTCTCATTCACAAGTGTCGCCATGATCTGTTTACTTGTGACGGAGGTGGTCTGACCCCCTGCTCGCGCATTGCTCCAGGCCTCCAACGGGGGTTAGGTTAGGTTAGGTTTTCTTGGTTGGTTGGTAATATAATTTGTTGTTCTAAAAAAACCAACTTTTTCCGTTATGATTGTTTGGTGGGGGGGGGGGGATCTGAAAAACACGTGATTTCCAGTGGAAATGAATGTCAAATTTGTTGAAAACTCATCACAATACATAGGAAAAACCTGTTTTTAATATTTAAATAAAGGCCGGTGTGATACTATAAATTGACCTTATTTTATAGTGGACACTGTTTAAATTTGTGCAAATGTGATAAAAATTGATATTTTTAAAATATACATTACTTAACATTTGTGGGTACGAAGGACAGACCTAACCAACCTAACCAAACAAACCTACCTAACCTTACCTAACATTCTCACCAGGAGGCTCTGCCCCCCAAACCTTCTGTATATTAAACAGAAAGAACTTACTATAATATGGTGAAATTTGAGGCATTTTCTGGACATGAGATGATGTGGGCGCATCAGCACTTATGCAGCCCGGCGGCTGAGTGATTTATTGTGATAGTGGGAAACGTCGAGCCATGGCGATGAGGAAGTGATGAACAAATTTATTTCCGGTCTGAAAGCACAGAAATTCCCACAGTGTGAACAATGCATAATTATTGAGTTATGATCCTATATTATCAATCTTGACCTCACCAAAGGTGGGCAGAGCTTCAGAGTAGTGGGAAAATGTGGAATTAAAAACATAAGTAAGTAAAAGAGCCCAACCTCCCTAAACCCAATCTGGTCATTGTACTCATTTACTGGGTAATTATTCCACAAACAGTAAAACAGTAAACCCTCGATAACTCGGCACATATGGGGCTCTGGCCTTGCCCAGTTATCCCAAATTCTGACTTATTAAAGCACTTCCCCACTCCGACAAAAATACAACACTAAAAAATTTTCTACCCATATATGTGTACAGTGGTCCCTCGGTTAACGAACACAATCCGTTCCAGCAGGTTGTTCGTTAACCGAAAAATTCGTTAACCGAAACCATTGTTTCAAGGGGTTTTTGGGTAATTGGTTCCAGCTCACTGAAAATTGCCTAAATTCAACAAAAATGGTAGAAAAGTTCACTTACTTTGAGGTGTGTATGTAGAAGGCTCCTGGATGATGATGATGATGATGATGGGAATTAGAATGGGGGTGGAGGAGAAGGGAGAAGAGAAGGCATTGGGGTGGAAGAGAAGTCACCCCATGGTACCATTTCACCCATAAAATTTTAGTTCTCTTGGTGTATTTCAAGATTATTTTCTTTAAATCAACACTGCACTGCATTATATATTGTCAATATGTAAAATATATTTCAAAATGACTAATAATTTGCTTGGAAACAAAAAAAAAGCATTTAGTTGAAGAGAGTCTCAAGCAAGATGTTACCTCCAGTGAAAACAGAGAGAGACTAACGCCTGTTTGCTGTGTTAAGAGGCTGGATGCCGCGCATTAAACTAGTCACTTTACCTTCAATTATGTTCAATAATTGTTAAAATGTCTAAAAAATTAAATATTAAACTTTTAAAATTATTGAATAGTATAAATTTCTTGATATTTACTAAAATAGTAAGGAATTGAAGCCCTAGAACCAATTAATGTATTGGCGGACTAATACTGAAGCTGGTTGACTGGCCAGTGCAAGCGAAAACATGTTGAGGTCGGTTCGTAAGAAATTCGTTCACCGAATTTTTGTTCGTTAACCGAATTTAAGAATCTTATGGGAGGCAGTTCGTTAACCGAAATTTCGTTAACCGAGGCGTTCGTTAACCGAGGGACCACTGTACATGTAATTAATAAATGTAAAAAAGTAACACTTACCAGCAATGCAGATGAAGATTAAAGCATCATAATAGGTGACACAGAGGCATGGTAGGTGATGCAGGTGGCCAGATATGCCAAGATTTTCCCCGATAATTTTATATATCGTGGCATTTCCCGAGTTATACTAATACATCCTGAGACCATATCCTTGCCAAGTTATATCAAATTCCGAGTTATCAAATGCTGAGCTATCGAGGGTTTACTTTACTGTACAGTACATCCCTTTAGCACTTCAACAAATGATGATACAGTGGTCCCTCGGTTAACGAACTCAAGTCGTTCCAGAGGGTCGTTCGTTAACCGAAAATTTCGTTAACAGAATCCATTGTTTCAATGGGATTTTGGGTAACTGGTTCCAGCTCATCGAAAATTACATACAAAGTAAAAACAAAATGCAGTAAAGTACACTTACTTTGAGGTGTGTATGTAGAAGGCTCCTGGTTGATGATGATGGGAATTAGAAGTGGGGGTGGAGGAGGAGAAGGGAGAAGAGAAGGAAGTGGGGGTGGAAGAGAAATCGCCCCATGCTTGATGCCTTCATTTCACCAATAAAATTTGAAGTTCACTAGGTGTAATTCAAGATTATTTTCTTTAAATCAACACTGCACTGCACTATATATATTGTCAATATGTTAAATAATTTCAGAATGACCAATAATTGTACTGTAAAAACGTAAAAATACTCTGTGTTCAAGAGACCCACAAGCAAGATGTTTCCTCCACTGGCTAGATACAAACTGAGGCCTTGGTGGGTGAGTGAAGTGGCTAATGGGCACACCAAAAACTAGTTCCCTGTACTGCAATTATGTTAAATAAGTGTTAAAACGACTAATAATTTTAATATAAAACTTAGAAAAATATTGAATAACACAACCTTCTTGATATTTACTCCAATGAAAACAATTTAAGCCCTAGAACCAATTACTGTATTGGCGGACTAATCTTCCAGCTGGTGAGCAAGCCAAAACATGTTGACATGATTTCGTAAGAATTTCGTTAACCAAATTGAAGATTCTTTTGGAAGGTAATTCGTTAACTGAAATTTCGTTAACCGAGGCGTTCGTTAACTGAGGGATCACTGTACAAGTAGCCTAAGAGAGGGGCACTCCTTAAACACCACCAAACTGATGATATACAAGCTTAAGTATATAATTTTGGGGAAGTCTTGTGAAAGTAGGTTTATTGAAACTCAGTTTCTCTTTATTTAATTTGTAATACTGATGCTTGACTGTGTCTTTGTCAAGGATGAGCTTAATTTTCTCCCCAACTCAATGATTTCCTTCACATCATCATGGCTTGGTCCAGGTAATTCAATGTTTTTCTCTGGTGGTGGGGGTCCCGCGGAAGCCATTGTGAGTTGTGAGGGGAATAGCGGGCACAAGAGATAACTGTATACGCGGAGAACTGAGAACAATGAGACAGTCCCGGCTAGGTCAGCGACTTCTTTCCTCCCGTGGCAGGGCACGTCATATTACATTAAACCAATCACAGCTAGCGGGGGAGGGAGGTAAGGATGCGTGGCCCAATCACAGTCCGATACGTCATATGACATCAGCGATAACACAACAGCAACATACTGCGCAACTTTACTCGTGCCGCTTCCTCACTCATGGTCAAACATGGCGGGATGGTGGGCCGCTTGAATCCAAAATGGCGCGGCGAGTCTGGACCTCCAGCTGCTTTCCACGTAAATGACCAAATTTACCATGTAATTAAAGCATTTCAATTCTGGCAAGGCACCGCGTAAATGACCAAACGCGTTAACCAAAACCGTGTAAATCCAGACTATACTGTACTTGTATTTAAACATAAAAATATCATGCATATTTTATCTTAGGTATATAGTACTGTACTTTTTCCTTCTCATTAAAATTGACTGCGCATATTACATTGCATCAATATAGTTAATGTTAGTTCACTGAATCTGTCTTTCAGAATTCATCTAAACCAAGATGAAGACAAAGTTTTTTGTAACATGTGGCCGAGGCTTGAGCACCTTCGCTGAGCAAGAGATTAATGAGAAGGTTCCCAAGGTGCGTGATATCCAGCCTCTAGGAGAAGGCAAGTTGTCATTCACTATCCACCAGGCTTCATCTTGGCCCCTGCCTCAAACTTCTGTTATTAATGAAAGTGAACATCCCCAAAATATAAAAGAGAAATTTTCACCAACTCTTGGTCTCAATAAACCAGAAGAGGAAGCAGAGTATATTAATGCCATAGCTCCAGTATTTAAGCTGAAGTTAGTGGAAAGAATCTTCATGTTGCTGCACTGTGAACACACTGATGATCCTGGTAAGGTTATAATATGTTTAAGTAATGGTTAAATCTTGAAGGAAACTTATGTATTTTATTCTGGTAAATTTTGCCACAGATTAATGTGTGGACTGTTTTGTTTAAGATAATTGAAAGGTCAGTAAAGAAACAGTGGGTGGCATGGTAAAGTAAATTACAGCATTTAAAGAGATGGTTTGAATTGAAATAATAATTTCAAGTCAAGGAATACAATACTGTATGTAGTGAAGGAGAATTGTGTGAGGGTGAAAGAGTGAATGAAACACGCTTCACTAATGGTTCATCAGTAAAAGATTTAGGTGTAAAGCATCGAGGAACAGACCCCCCCCCCCACCCCCTGCACACCTCCAATATGAATTAGACCTTTAGGGAATACCCAGGTACAGTATGATGCAGTACAGGGTATATGGATTTACAGAAGTTTTCTGTATTTCTTTTTTTAAGATCAATTTACCTCTTTTCATCTTATGAGGGTTATACAGCAGTTCCACCCAACTTGATAGGCAAGGGAATACTGTACTGTACAGTGTAGCAAGATAGGAATTTTACCAAAACCAATGGGACTTGATATCAGCCATATTCATCATTTTGTATTTTTTTTTCATTTGAATTTATAAACTTAGTTTTCATTTTTTACAAGTACAGGGGGTCCCCAACTTACGAAAGTCCGATGTACGCCTGCCCGCCGATACGAACAGGGTTAAACTTGAAATTTACAGTATTTTATTTACCTGATTACTTATTTTTTTACTTTCATTTACTGTACAGTTAACCCTCACTTTATGCGGTTAATGTAACCCGGAGGGTACCGTGGAAAGCGAGAAACGCGTAAAGTGAATAACATAACATATGGGATTAATTGAAATGGAGTCCAGCCGATCCCCAAACTCCACTTTTTGACGACACATAACTATGTTTTAGTAAAAATAGCATCTTAATTTTATGATGGTACATGCACACAATTAATACTTAAGAGAAATAGAGAAATACAGTCGCCAAGTTAATGTCCATTCAAATAATGGACACGACTCCCTCCCCCTCTTCTCACACTACACTGCTGGCTCTTCCCTCTGAGAAATTTTGGGGAAAACCAGGTAGTAATAAATAATACCTCAAACTAAAGTTAGGATAATATAATTGACATTGCTGGATTCCTTGTAAGACCAGGAATATTTTGAATATAAATGTCATATATTTTTCACAAAAGATAACATATTTACTCAGATTAAACATTACATCTAAAATTTGTATGTCTAATGCAAAATCTATGATGTTTATATTCAAAATGATCATCAAATTGTAAGAATTCCAGCAATGTAAATTATATTCTGGCCGGGTAATTTGTATGAATTTTATGAGCTAAAACAAATATCTTCAGTTAATAAAAAAAAAATATTCTTCACGACACTATCTGTCAATCAAAGTACCCCACCTTGCCTCCCCCCCCCTCTTCCAACCGCGCGGTCAGTCCCAACCCTCCCCCCACCCCCCACCAATCCTCCCTTCAAGAGAAAGAGTGGGTGAAAAAAATAAATTTTAACATTTTGTATTAAATAATACCTCAGATTAAAGTTAGGATAATATAATTGACATTGCTGGATTCCTTGTAAGACCAGGAATATTTTGAATATAAACGTCATATATTTTGCACAAAAGATAACATATTACTCAGAGTAAACATTATATCTAAAATTTGTATGTCTAATGCAAAATATATGATGTTTATATTCAAAATGATCATCAAATTGTAAGAATTCCAGCAATGTAAATTATATTCTGGCCGGATAATTTGTATGAATTTTATGAGCTAAATAAAAAAATTATACTTCACCCGTGTAAAGGGGTACACCCACCGCGGAATGTGAGCATCCTGGGTTCTGGCAGGGCACCGCGTAAACGTGGAAACGCTGAATGTGGGACCGCGTAAAGTGAGGGTTGCCTGTATTTTGTCATTCTATTTCTTCTTTTGTCTTAAATTAAGTGACTTTAGATGTATATAAGGACTTAGGCTATGATATAGTGGGAAATTAAGAATTATTTTGTAAGTACAGTATGTATATACAGCTGCTCCTCGACTTACGACATACTTGACCTCCGACCACCCGAACATATGACCGCCTCAGTCATACGAAAATTTTGTCAAATTACGTATTTTCAAGTTCCAACGTCAGTGATTGCGCTGTGTACTGACAAAACGTTTGTAATTTCTTTAAAATGGCTGGCAAGCTTAAAAGTGAGAGTTTTGTGGTGCTGAGAAGAAAAAGAGACACCCACTTTAGATTTTCTATGTATTATTTAAGGATTTTCGACTTACAACCAATTCGACTTACGACCTGGATTTGGGTCCCTAACCTCGTCGTAAGTCGAGGAGCAGCTGTATAGCATATGTTCCGATTTACTTACAAACATCCTCAGGAACGGAACCGGTTCATAACTCGAGGACCCCCGGTACTGTACAGTATGATGTGATCATTAATAATATTAGATTAATATCAAAGTTTAGACTAAAAAGAAACTATTCACCAACATACTTAACTAAAAAATTCAGATTACAGTACAGTACAGGTATATTGTACACACTTCTTTCACTTTGTATGAGTTAAATTTGCTTGTTTAGTATTTAACCTTAAATTTACTGTACCAATGGTGCTACAGTGCCATCTTTTACATGTTGTCATGACCTTTGAAGAAATGCTTTACTGATCTTTTAAAGGCTAACAAATTACACATAATTCAAACATAAAAAGGATTTACATTTGGAATATTGGCTATAATTCATGAAAGCCCAGAAATGTACACGTCAGTGAAAAGGTACTGTAGCTCTATTAGTTGATCAGTTGGTCTACCCTCTGCAGTATCAACCCACACAATACAAGTTTGATTTCATGGCTTAGCAGAGTTGGTAAAGTATTATTTGCTGTGGTGTACAGTGAACAACAAAACTGTCTTTTAAATTTTGTGTGATGAAACATAATCAGAGATTTACCTCGACTACATTTGAACATTTGGTATGCCTGACTGGGTAGCATGATTCATTTGAGACGAGAAGTCCTCTCTATACGGATCATGAAGTATATCATGGTTTGAAACATCCCAAAATGGTTAATGTGGTAAGTGATATATTTCACAGCCATGGTAAATGGATAGCAGGGAAACCTGGAAACTCAGGATCAGTACTCTCCAGGCCTGCCAACTGTTCAAAAGTTCTCCAGAGAGAGTGTTGGAAGGCTCAAGTATGCTGTGATACTGTACATTCATCCAAAATTGTGAAGATAGTTTTGTCACTCACTGTAGATAGATCTGGTTACTGTGCCATACCAAAGTCCCAGTTAAAGTGAACTTCATATTGCCAGTGGTTTGTCACCTTATAAAACTGTTGGATTTTTTCATAAAACATGTTGGCCCTCTTTAGCTATTGCAGTCCTTTTATTTGCAAGATCACTTTTATGTTGAGGTACCTGTAGAAATTCTTCTTGGGGAAGCTTGAATTTCTTTCTTTTTCGATCTACTCAAGCTTTCAATTTTTTAATAGTATGTTTCACTCTTCACTGCTTTATTTCCAAAAATTTAAATCCCTGAACAATAATAGTTTCTGTGATTTGTAAGATTCATAGGTTGTACCTGTAAATACAGTAATTTTGATGTTTGCTGCCAATGACATGAGATACAGTCCTGAATAGTATAGCAAAATAATGTTGTGAGATTAATTTGATATTATTTTATTACTGCTAGGAATGTACATGTTGCCGCCCATTGAGCGACTGTGGGTTAATGACACCCTTACACGTAGGACTCGATTGTTCTTTATTCGGTATGTTCCATCACTATTAGCGACTACATAATATAGTATATTTGAGTAGAGTAGGGTGTTAAACCATACAAAACTTACGTATTTCGGGTTTAATGTAGGACTTATTTAATACCCTGACTTGATAGGTCACTGGATGGATAGAGACTGTCTTCTGAACCCCACAGGGAATGAGTCAGTCCGAGAGGAGGGCCATCTGTTTCACATTTAACACCCCAGCAGAGTTTGTCAACACCCTTTCTCTCTCTCTATCCCTCTCTTTCTCTCTCTTCTAGTTTATCCTATTATGACGGTAACATATCCTACTGTGGCGATAACAGTACATAATATTCTATCTCAATCAGGTCGGTGCAGTGAAGGTAAAGATGTTAATAATGTCTCAAATCCAAAGGAAGCATTTAACCAAGAGACAGCAAGAGTCAAAAAGGAGAAACTTTACTCTGAAGACATATGCTGTGAGAGTTTACAAAGTTCTAAGGAAACATCAAGTTGTGAGAATACCTTAAGAAAATGCACAGTACCATCAGAGAAGAACATTGCACCTGAGAGTGTTTTAAATGACTGTAAGTTTTCTGATCATCTGTTATTGTTTTGATTTTGTGTAGCCTCTGGTCCTCTCATAAGTTATACAGAATACTGCTGTAAAAAGTTTATTATCATTACAGTATATTATTATTATTATTGTACAGTATTACCATTATTGTTAGTGCTATTGTTTTTATTATTATTGTTATCATTCAAATGGTCATTTGGACATATTTAAGGAGATGATGGGAAAACAATTATTACCCTGTCATTACTTAAGATGAAAAGATCTTCAACATTTTTATTGAATGATACATAAGGTAGACTTTTCTTCTGTTTAGAAGGCGAGTAATTTTCTGGGGTGTTAACAATCCTTCCTCACTGGGTTAGCATTTCACAGATCATTTATTATTGTTTCTTTTCCCTATTTTTATAGTGGACTCTCTTTACAGGTGAGAAGAAATTGATGAACATCATGAACAATACTGAATGGGCAGATGTAGCACATAGAGTCCAAGTGTTGAGGGTCTACCATGACCACTTTGCTGGGTGCCGTGTGCTCTGTCACAACCCTGACACATGTCCAGGGTCTGTTAACAGGAAAATTGATAAACATCAGTTACAGCAGAAGCGTAAAGCCACATTTCTGTCCTCTGGTTTAACCAAATATTGTCAACATAAAAACAGGAAAAGGAGATACCTAACTGTAGGTCCTACAGAAAAATATTTTCACGGAAAAGATTTTAAACGTAAAAAAATAATTTCTAATGAAGGATTAAATGTTCATGGTTATATTAAGAAAGAAGGTTCAGTCAATCAAATTTCAAGAGACCATTATCCCTTTATTCCCAAAAATAATGAAATTAGGAATGGAGATGGACTGTTACTTGATCCATCTAAAGCTGGTGATGAAAAACTTCTTGGTTGTAACACAGCATTGCTAAATGAACAAGCTTCATCGGTATGTACTGCACCAGTTAAAAATGCTAAACTTCAGGTTACTGATTTATGTAGAACTGTTCCATCATGTGACAATGAAAAATTATCATTTAAGATCACCTCAGAAAGTACAGCGATGGTGCTAGTGGAAAACGCTGAGACATTCCCAGTAAATGAAGCAAGCTTAGCCAAAACCAGAACAGTATTTGAAAAGAGAGAAGTGGTGCTTAGTAGTGATGTAGCAAGTATTTTCATATCCCCAAATATACCAGATGAAGGGATAAGGCAGCAGTGTAGTGTAAATCAGCACAAAAAAGCAAACAGTAATGAACAATCAGTGAGCTTCAGAGTGTCATGCAGAGTCTCTGGTCTTCACAAGAATGTACTAACAACTGACTGGCTCACTCAGAAGTTTGTACAGCACTTAAGTCAAGTGATGGATGCATGGGTAACTAATTGGCAAGAACCTACGATGGATATCTATGTGAATGTTACTGATTCACATTTTATTGTAGGTATGAAAGTTGATATAGTTTATATTTCTTTAATAATATATTTTCTTAATGAATATTAGTAAATAGTGTTAATAGATACATTATGCAGGAAAGCAAAAAAATTGACTAAAAGATATATACAGGTACTGTACTGTATGTACCTGTATACTGTATTTCAGTGTGTAGCAAGGTATTGTATGGTAAAAGTGCAACCTACTTTCCTGTACAATGCTATGGTGAAATATTGATCCCATGGTGGAGGGTAAGGAACTCTGTATATACTCAAGTATAGTCCCAGTTTTTAAGATCCAATTTTTATTCTAAAGTAGAGGGTCAGAGTATATATACTTCTCGGTACAGATCTACTGGGCTTGCCTTCCATACACCTCGAGTTTTACTTTATGGTGCTATATGAAGAGTAGAACCTCATTCAATATATATGTTGCTTTAAATCTACAAATACATGATGCAAATGAAGATTTACTGATAATTTTCTTTTCATTTGGATCTGTTTACATTGCTGGGAAATTTTCAACTGTTCTCCACCTGTGAGCTACATGCTTGTTATGATTATTTTTGAAAATTGTAATTTTGATTAGATACCGGTACAGTACATGTAATTTTCTTCATTTTTGTTTTACTCACGTGCACACACAATCAGGGCCGGCGCTACCCACTAGGCGATCGCCTAGGGCGCCAACATCTGGGGGCGCCACAAATTCAGGGCAAACTTGGATAAAATTAAAAATGAAGGGAAAACTGTGATGGACACTGTGGTGGAGCCGTGGAGGGTCGGAGCAGGATGTTAGAAGGGTGGGGGGTCGGAGGGAGGCGAGAGTAGGTAGACGGTAGCCGACTGTGTTTTCTTTTTTAATATTATTCGTTAACCCCCCGGAGGGACTAACCCGGGTCCTTATCTTTGGCGGCCTGGAGAACTGTCGAGCAGTGACCTGAAGGCTGACATCTGAGGAACCCTTCTCCCAACCCCACCATCCCCTCCCCTCCCTTACTGCCACTTATTGCCAGGGCGGCTGAGCCGCCCCTTCCCTGTCTTTGTCGGGATGAGGCAAGGTTACCTGACCTCTGAAGTTTACGTCAAGGATTTATTGACTTAATGTAATAACAATAATTGGTTATTTGCATGGGTGAAGTAATAAAGCCACAAGATGAAAACAATGTAGTAATGGGTTACTGTACCTACATTAGCTTATCAAAACTTTCAAGGGGGCGCACATCTAAAGGCTTGCCTAGGGCGCCAAATCATCTTGCACCGGCCCTGCACACAATCCTACATCCAGAATATGCATAAAAAATTATCATAAAGTAAAAAATAAAGGGAATAAACATTTCTTTGTGTGCTAGAGTTAGCACTTAGGTACAGCAAAGTATTCAGGTTGGATGACGTTTGACATCTCTGTACAGGTATCTGTAGATGAATAGACTGAGTAGGATGGATAACTAACTATTGAAAGGGAAACTTGTTCCAAGAAAGCTAACATCAATATATTAATTATTAAATTGTCCAAAGGCTTGTTAACATGCAGGATGTTCAATTTACAGGTGTAGCACTGGCCCCGAAGCCTCTTTCTCTGCGACGTTATATTCCACACATCACTCTACGATCTACTGTCTGCAACCTGATGGCCAGGCTGTCCCAGATACTTCCTGGTTGTGTGCTCTTAGACCCAATGTGTGGTGGAGGAACCATTTTGCTGGAGGCTGTTACAGACTTTAAGGTTGGCTTGATCCTTGCCTTTTCCTTTACTTGTGAGACCTGAAAAAGAAGAAATTGATTTATTAAAAAAAATTTAAAAGAATATCCTACTTGATCCTATACAATAGAGACTGATTAGTGTGTATAAGCTTAGGATTACTTGCACAGTACAGTATTTTAATGAATGAATATGGTTTTAGATGGACACACTTGAAAAAATGTTAGGCTATATGCAAATTACCTTTTTAAGCTTTACACTAAGTATGAGCTATATGTACATTACAGCATTTTCAGTTTTGCAGGTTAGTCATGTTATTGCAAGTGACATGAGCATAAACCAGCTTGAGGTAGCCAGATGTAATCTTAACAGTCTGCACACCCCCGTCAGTCTCTTACAAGCTCCTGCTACTGGTAAGTTGGCTGCTTGCTCGATAGTGAAGAGGAAAGATACACTCTGAGGCTCAGTTAACAGATAGGTGTCCAGATTCTTGTCAGTTGTGCACCTGAGGCAAGTTTCTATATCCACATATCCATCTTCCTTTTTCGAGGTTTGTGGAAACTTTACAAAATCATTACCAAATAGCAGTTCATTCTTTTAAGATCTTTTTTCTCCCATTCTTGGTTACTGTCAATGATATCTGTGCTGAAGTCTTCTCTTGTGTGTGGTCATACAACTGTAAAAATTATGTGCAATTTAGGAGATTACATCATTCATCATTACATAGTTTTATAGTACACCCACTCCTTGTTTTACACTCATTTGATTTAAGCGTTTTTGGAATAACGCGTTTGTTTAATTAATACCAGCTCCTAATTTAAACACAACTATTTTTTAAATATAGCTGTTTAAATTTGCCTCGTATTCGCCTGGCAGCGGAGTCGCTTGTGATGACTGGTGAGGCGCGTGTTAGTACAGTATTACTGTAAAGTCACAGTCATATCAACATCAACGATTTTAATATTATTATTATTAATAATAATAATCATTATTATAATAATGTAATAATGATGATGAAGATAATGTTGATAATGAAGTATACAGTACTGTACAACAACTGTGACGGCGTCCAGCTGTTTAGTGTTTGCAGCAAGCTTCTTGTGTACCGCTTTCTCAGTTTGTTTCGGCACTACTTGTTTGTGTTTTTATCATGTATCTTTTAGTGTTAAACACTATTTTCCCCATCGAGCATGTCTGGAAAACGTCCATCTGCCTCCTCTGGTGAGCCTAAAGCTATAAAGGCAAGAAAAACAATCACAATGGACATCAAGTTAGATGTGATCACTCGCCCGTACCCTCGCCTCAGTAGCTCCCTCCCCTACCCCACCTTTGTCAAGCAGAAGTTGCCGGTCATCAGTGTAAGTGTTATTTAAGATGTATTTACTATTGTTGTTCTTTATTAGCTGGTTTTTCTTTATGAATTAGTAAGGTAAAAGAATATTTATTGTGAGTTACCCTGTACTGTATATGATGGTTCCCCTAACCTGTACCATTTACATGTATTCTTTTGGGAAAAGTAGGTTTAATTTACGCATTTTTGAATTAAGCGGAGATTTTCAAGAACCTAACCCCCACGTAAAACGAGAGGTGGGTGTATAAATGATATGAACAAATATCTTTTCTCAATACAATCTTCAGATTGCATAGTCACTCAGGCTTTTCCTGAAGAAAGTAATATTCCCTAAACATAGAGCTTTACAGCACTTCATAGTCTCTAATTACTCCTTTAGTCTCACTTTGTACCCTATGGTGGAGGTACCATTCAGTATCAGGTGGTAACTCATTCACAGATTCTGTGTTCTTACGAATCCCATCCTTAATTGACAGTTCATGACCTCATTTCCGGGCTGTTTCTGGTGTAAAATTACATTACGTTTGCTGGCTCAACAAGTCCTAAAATCACATAAATATAAAAACTATTTTGTCAGACCACTCCACTGAAGTTCCTGTTCTTAGCAGAATTGTAGTTGAGCACTCTTTCATCATCACTGACCATGCACAACTTGATGACACCACCCTCTGATCACCCTAGCAATAAGGCAAAGTCTCATAACATTTTTTAAACCTCTCATCCAAGCCTTTTCACTTTCGCCTGCAGTTTTAATAACCCTCTTCCATTCTCAGGGGTCGTCGTGTTTACAACCAGTGTTTTAAAAAAGTTTTGGTCATGAAGAACATCACTCTACATTGCTTGATGGGGAGTGTGGCAGTAAAATTAAATTATAATATTGGAATTATTTAATTTTACTGCCACACCTCCCTGTCTAGCAATGTACAGGGGGTCCCCAGGGTACGAATGGGCTCCATTCCTGAGAACACTCTTAGTCAGATGTGTACGTAAGTCAGAACACATGCATACTGTACCTACAGAACAATGTTTAAAATCCCACTATATCATAGACTAAGTCCTAATATACCGGGTATGTCTAAAATCACTTAATTTAAGACAAAAGAAATAGAATGACAAAATACAGTAATTGAAAGTAAAAAATAAGTCATCAGGGAAATAAAATACTGTAAATTTCAAGTTTATCCCCATTCGTATGCAGTTCCTGTGTGACTAATTTTTTTTTTAAACTCTGGTTGTAAACACGACCCCATCAACAGAAGAGGGTGATTAAAAATCTGGGCTTTTGTCTCTCCTTCTCGGGAATCTGATCTTTACTTCAGTTTTATAATATGTTTTCTACTATACATTTTCAGACAATCCTCATGTAAATATCACCCCATTTCAGGCAGAACATTCCGTGGTGTAGATTTAGGGTGTTCTGTTCATTTTCTTCGTAAAGGTTCCACTTTTGATAAAAATACTACAAAAACTTTAATTTCTGGAGTGACTGTCCATGTTATCCACCCAGCCACCACACCTCTTACTTCACATTACCATAACCTATATTCCCCATGACACCATCCCACTTGATTCAAACTCTGATCTGATTATTTCCTCTGCATCCTAATGAAGGATGAATCTCCTTGGTTTCATTCATATTGAAAAGCCAACCCATGATCTCGATAATTACCTTTTCCCCACATCCCAATTCACAAATTCTCCTTCTGTGCCCAAGGAGTGCAGTGACCAAGTGGATACAGTACCTGTACTTAAAGGGTCACTGTTCCATGTCCAGTGCACCTTCAGTACACCCAGCCTTAAGCGGTTAACATGTACCTAAATTTATGATTGGGGAAATGTAGGTGGGCAAGTACAGTACTGGCCACATTGCCTCCTTTAGTACTGAAGGCTTACTATTCATTATCAACTTTTACTTTTAGAATGTTACATAGAATAAATGAATGACACTGAATAAAGGAAGAATCTGAAAATTTTCTTGATTTCAGCCACTCCGCATTTAGTGGGAATAAGCTTGAGAGTGAAAAAATACAAAGCCACAGATGTGCTTTATCAGATGACATGTAGAGAAAATGCATTTTTATTCCAGCACTGCCCCTGCATGATGCATCTATCAATGTTGTGCTGTGTGATTTCCCATTTGGTAAAAAATACAAGTTGACAGCTGACAACACACAGTTGCTGAGAGGGGTTCTACTAGAATGTCAAAGGTAATACCTTAATAATTTTGTTTACATTATGGATCACTTTAAACCAATTTAAAGATACAACAATGTTGAATGTTGATCAAAGTAGATATTGGGAATATACCTGGTAAGGCTGGTAGGAACTACATGCATATTCCTGTGTATTATAACCCTCACAAAGAGACCCTTGATAACTGTTATGTACTGTCAAGTGCAGAAATTGTCCTGATGTTCACAGCACAATCCACCTTGGAGAAAATTGTATGAAGGAAATTAAATATAAGGTGTGGATAAATGTGAAGTACATTACTGTACAGTAGTGTATAACTACTGTACTACAGTATGATTGGATATTTACCTTTGTTCTGTTACATTAAATACAAAAGACTTAATATACATATAACTGTAAGTATGCTGTATTTTGTACATTACAGTGCACAGTTTAAAAAAAGTTACACCTAACATTCCAAGTAATTTCAACCCTACCAGTACTTTATTCTTAAATTTATATGAATGAAATACTGTACCATATTTTATATACAGTGGTCCCTCGGTTAACGAGCACAATCCATTCTAGAAGGTTACTCGTTAACCGAAAAACTCGTTAACCGAAACCATTGTTTCAATGGGTTTTTGGGTAATTGGTTCCAGCTCACCGAAAATTGCCTAAATTCAACAAAAAAGGTAGAAAAGTACACTTTCTTTGAGGTGTGTATGTAGAAGGCTCCTGGATGAAGATGAAGATTATGGGAATTAGAATGTGGGTGGAGGAGAAGGGAGAAGAGAAGGCATTGGGGTGGAAGAGAAGTCACCCCATGGTGCCATTTCACCCATAAAATTTTAGTTCTCTTGGTGTAAATCAAGATTATTTTCTTTAAATCAACATGTAAAATAAATTTCAAAATGACCAATAATTTGCTTGTAAACACACAAAAAAAGCATTTAGTTGAAGAGAGTCTCAAGCAAGATGTTACCTCCACTGAAAAGACACAAAGACTGACGCCTGTATGGTGTGTTGGCAGGCTGGATGGCGTGCCACAAACTAGTGACCCTACCTTCAATTATGTTCAATAATTGTTAAAATGACTAAAAAATTTAATATTAAACTTTTAAAATTATTGAATAGTATAAACTTCTTGATATTTACTAAAAGGGTAAGGAATTTAAGCCCTAGAACCGATTACTGTATTGGCGAACTAATACTACAGCTGGTGGACCGCCAAATGCAAGCTAAAACATGTGGAGGTCGGCTCGTAAGAAACTCGTTAATCGAGGGATTGCTCGTTAACCGAAGTTAAGAATCTTATGGAAGGTAACTCGTTAACCGAAATCTCGTTAACCGAGGCACTCGTTAACCGAGGGACCACTGTACTCGAGTGTAGTTTGATTTTTATAATCAAATTTTTATGCTAAAAATAATGGGGTCAAACTATTGATACACAGTATTTTTGGTGGGTTAAATTTCATGCTTTTCCATGGGTTATTTATGGTGAACAATTGCTACCCAGGACATGCCTGTGGTAAGGTAACCTTACCAAGCTGTGAAGTGTTATGGTTATTTTTGAACTCGTAATTTTGGGTAGATATACTGTATGGTACATAACTTTCTTCAATTTTTTTTCCTCAGTTACATGCTCAAAATCCTACATACATACATACTGTGAAAAAAGGTAAAAGAAATACTGTAATTATAATAAGGGCAATAACAAAAAGGAACTAAACATTTCTTTGTGTGCCAGCCAGAGTTAGCAGGCTGAGGGGGATTTATGTTATGTTTATTTTTCAATTTGTAATTTTGGTGAGATATATACAGTAGATATTGACAGAACTGTATGTAACTTTCTTCTTTTCTTTTCTTTTTTACTCGGTTACATGCACGGACAATCCTAAATACACATTGTGAAAAAATATAAATAAATAATTATCATAAGGTCAAACACATTAAAGGAATAACAAAAAAATTGCTCAGAAGTTGACAGCAACAAGAATGGATGAATGAGTTTCAGCCAAGTTAATGAAGGAAAATATGTGTTTGTGTATTTTGTCTTATCCTGCTTTATGTAGAAAAAGGTTTGAAAGATTAACAGAAAGAAAACCACTTTATTGTAGAGTGTTGATATGTGGCGGACGAGCAGTGTTTCTTCTGTCCAGGCAGCAGCAGCAGCTTCTCCTCCATCTGGTATCTTCCACAGACTCTTGTGAGCAACCCCAAGGTATGTATTGTAATGAGCACATCTCTCTTTACCTTGTCTGTTATCAGCTCTACTATTTAGGGTTCCCTGTAATCTAAATTACTATTGAAGATTGAATTTATAAATTATTTCATAAGTCATAAAACCAACACAAACATGTTAAACTGAAGGCGGGGGCACACCGGGCACTTTCTTCCCAGCACATTGGCCGTATTTGCTGGTCGCTGGCTTGGTGGCCCAGCAAGCAACAGGATTTCGCCTGTTGTGAGAAATGGACAATGATTTGTCGGTGAGCTTTGCTGGCAAGATTAGTGCTCAAATGAGCTTCATGTTAGGTGTTGAATATTTAACTGTAAATTGAATTAAATCATGAAACAATAATAGTTTATAATATAGCACATAAAACAGTGCTGTGTTTCTATTTTTTCGTCACTTAAGAACTTTAGTACAGTATTATTAAATCATTATTCAGGGTCTTCTTTGACTAACCAGCTGCTGCCATTTGTAAACAAACTTCACGATGGCTTCTCCAGATGCACCAACAAAACATTCCAGTGTGATGAAAACGTCTCTTTGTTTTGCTGGCCGGACCGTGTTCGCCGAGCATGGTTGGGAAGAAAAGTACCCAGTGTGACATTGCCTTAAGAGGGTTGTACATAATACATTGAAGTTCAGAGGTGTTATTCCTATCCCTCAAAAGCTTAAATTGGCATTAAAGTGGTGGAGGAACAAGAGCCATAGTTCACAGTTAGCAAGCCATGAGGAAAAGTTTTCTCCCTCTTTAGACTCCTCAAAGGGTTGGCTGTCCTCTTTGCCCTACCCATGAAACCCTCAAAGTAGAAAGTAGCTGGCCCCTTTGCCCATCCTTGGAACCCTCAAGAAAGGGAAGGACAACTGCCCCCTTTGCCCCCATCCCTCTCCCTGGCATACATGCCAAGGGAGTACCGGTAAGAGAGAAAGGTAGGAGGCAGAGAAGGAGTTCAGAGAAGAAAGAAGAGCAAGGGAGGAAATAGGGAGAAGAGGGTAAAGGAAGGGAAGAAGAAAAGGGAGGGGAGTGATAGTATTGGGAAGTGAAAGGAGAGGAAACAGAAGAACTAGACGGAAAGGAACAAGAAAAGGGAGAAGCTGTTTTTCCCCCCCTGTTTTCCTCTCTCCTTTACTCTTTTATCTCCTTCTCCTTTGTATCATCTAGGCATATGTAATAATCTTATTGTTGGTGTTTCTTCTTCAGAGATCTTGCTGAAAGTGGAGGGTGTTCACTGGGTGTCTCTCGGTGAAACTTGTGCCTGTGTTGCAGTTCTCTCAAAGGGTGAAGATCCTCGCCTCTGAAACCTCTTCTTCATTCCCCCTCTGCCTCCCTCTTCTCCAACTGTTTCCTTTCCTTTGTTACTGTCCCTCTCTTCACCGCTTCCTGTTACCTCTTTTCTTCCCCATGTTCCATATCTTCTTCCTGTCCTCTTCTCTCTCTTCACTGAACATCCATCATTCTCATCTATTCCTTTGTCTCTCCCTTCATATCATCTACTGTATACTGTTCTTTCTCCCCTTCCTTCCTTTTCCATTTTTATTCAAACATTATCATAACCATTGTTCAAGTCTGTATAATTTATTAATAAAAATTATTTTCAAATACAGTATAAAGAATTTTTACTCCTAAATCCCATCAAAACTGATAAAAGAAAAAGCCTCGGAAAATGTTCAAGTTCTTACAATTGTTTAACCAGAAGATGTAATAAAGCTTAAAAAAATATAAAGAAATGCAACAAGTGAAGATAAGGTTTAAAGAATACAATGAGAGGGAGGTTAGGGTACAGATTGAAAGGACGAGTAAGGAGGTACTGTACAGGGGGATAAGAGTAAGGTTGAGGCACGAGGGAGACGCAATGGTGCGTTACTTTGGTAATCTTACAGCTGAGCAGACACACTAATGTGGAGCCTCAGTGGAATGCTTCCATTAGATGCATGTAATAGTGAGGGTCAAGGAAGAGAAATGGGTTAAGCCTTGTAAAATGTGAAGCGATTGTTTTTAGTGTAGTGTGGGGTTCACAATTCGTATAGTTAACATAAGGAAGCCTAATCGTACAGTTCATTGCATTAGTTGTGTTTTCAATGACTTAATTATTTATTACTGTGGCAGAAGAGAGGCCAATAGTAAGAGTATTACAAACGTGATCAGCCCGGAACAGATGTAAGAAGGGTGTCATTATAAGGGCGGGAGCGGGTTATTACTTTTCTCTGTCTTTATTCTTTCTTTTTCATTATTAGTTCTGTCTAATTATTTCATTTCCCCCATTCTTCCTTGGTTACAAATAAGAAGTTAATTTATTTCTAGGGTTATGTTTTAACAGGCATTATAACCATTTTTATTATTTCTTGTCTATAGTAATACGGTTAATAACATGAAATCAATATATTCATATCAATTTAGAGAGTTCTTTGAGCAGATTATAAATATTTATATAAGGTTTTCTTGCAGTATCTAGCACACCTCTGCCGGGTGGCCCTAAGAACCACAACAGTTTAATGATGCAAGTTAAATAGTGTTAAAAAGTCACCAAGACATACGGGAATCCACTTTTCAGATAACATAAACAGATCAAATGTGTTCTGGTGCATTTAAAATTATACAAATAATATTAGTTTAGTTTTATGAAGTTAATTTTGCTTAGAACTGTCTACTTTAAAAAAATATATATTTAGGTCATGGTCGTCGTACTTTGTTAACATTGGACAGCTCGCCGTTGTTTTCATGGCGTCAGCTGTTGGACGGTGAAGGAAGTCAATTGCTAGAACCTGTCGTAATTATAAGATATGGGGTACGCCGACCATCCAGACGGTCAGGAATGCTTCGAGAAGGTGTTCGCGTGTACCAAATACAGCGGGTTTGCTGGTAAATATGTTTTTCTCATGCTTCATGTCAGGGTTGAGGTAGGTGTTCTTTACGGCAGGGTAAGACATGAAATGGTCAGTCTGTTATAACTATCACCCCACTGATGAAGTGACCGCTGGTTTGACGTGTAATGTTCAAATTGAGTTTATTCCTAGTAGGCATATAGACAGTGGCTTCGGCCTCACACCTTATGTCGTCCTATAGGCCAAAGTTCGGTCCGACTAATTACACAAATGTAGCCGCAATGAAGTCAAATAATGGTCCTACATGAATAAATCGGACTGCCAATCACTTCTCGACTAGTATTTGGTGTCACAAAGTCACAAAAAATTGGTAAACTTAATTTAATCTGAGTTGTGTTAGGTTAGGTTAGGTACATGCACTTGATCTATTAACTCAGACTAAATTATGTTTACCAATTTTTTGTGACTTTAAGACACCAAATAAAAATCGAGAAGTGATTGGCAGTCCGATTTAGACTAAATTAAGTTTACCAGTTTTTTGTGTCTTCGTGACACCAAATACTAGTCGAGGTTAGGTTAGGTTAGGTTAGGTACATGCACTCGATCTATTAACTCAGACTAAATTAAGTTTACCAATTTTTTGTGACTTTGTGACACCAAATAATAATCGAGAAGTGATTCACAGCCCGATTTACGCTTGTAGGACCATTATTTGACTTCATTGCGGCTACATTTGGGTAATTAGTCGGACCCGCCAAAGTTGGCCTGAGTATTGGTTCACTTTATCTTACTGATTATAACTGCTGTATTAATGGGTAATTATTCCACAAACACTGGTAAATGAGGTTAATATTTAGAAGTTGCCAACACCTACTTATATATTGAATCTTATATAGGGAGAAAGAAAAAACTAGGGTAAAATTTCACTTGCTGCCACTATATGAAAGCGAAGTTGAAACTGTTTTTCCTATGGTTTTTGATGTGTTATGAACGAATTTGACATTAATTTCTGACACAAATCAATAGTTTCTAAGATAAGCTCCCTGTCCCATCTCAGAATCTACAGATATGCTAAAAAAAATCAAGGTAAAAAGTGTCAAAACACATCCAAAACCATTGGGAAAAACAGTTTTGAATCTAACCTAACTTAATTTAACCGGGGAGCTCCACAGTCGTGCGATGTTCTGGGTGTGTGCCGCCATGTACAAACATAAATAATAAAATGTTAAATATCAAGCTTACCGGTAAATGTAATTTACGCCAGAAATGCCATTGAAGAAAAGTGTCTTAGAATTGTCAAGAGTACAGTACTGATTGCAACTATAAAATTCACGAGATTCGTTTAGTGGCAACAAGTAGAATAATATAAAAACTAAAACCGATTTATTCTATAGCATTTCTGTCGGAAATTTATATAAATAATCAAATATTTTAACCGATAAAATTACCCACAATATTATTTGTTCAAAGTAGGCAGGGCTTTGAAGTAGAGGGAAAATGTGGGGTAAAATACTAAAAATAACACCAAACAAACCTTTGAAAACCTGACCTGACCTTTCATAACTTGTAAAACTGTTAAGAATCATTTTTGAGTACCGAAAACAACACCATCATATACTAAATACCGAAAACATGAATAAGGTTAGCTTTTTATAGTTTTTGGATTTTTAAAGGTAAGGTCAGGTTATATATATATTTTTTTTGTTTTTAATAGTATTTTACCTCTACTTGAAACCCCTCCCCACCCTGAACAAGTAATATTGTTGGTAATTTTATCGGTTAAAATACTTGAAAAATATACATTTGCAACGGAAATGCAAGTGATTTAGGCATGAAAAACAAACCACGTACTTATTCAAGGAAAATCGATTCCTAACTAAAATAGAATCATAGTGATAATGGTAAAAAATCTGAAATACCTATTGGATAAAAACGAATATTAACTCGTGAAACCTTGCCAGAGAAATCAGAAGGACCTAACCTAACCTCTTAGCCGGGGGGGGAGGGGCAGAAACCCCAGTGTCATGTTTAATATGTGATATATTTCTTTGATAACTAATTTAATGTTCTATACTTGGGGATATAATTACATGGTTAAGCAACACAACATAAATTTTCTTGGTTACAACTATGTCATACAGTACGAATTTTGTATGTGACTTGTGTGCATCATCATATAACTAATTTTCAATACAAGTTACATCAGTCATAATTTATATGTAACGTGTGTTAATTATCATTAAAAAAATTATGTTAACGGGGTACATGTGATTAAACAACATAGCACACAATTCTCTGTTTAAATTTGATATGCGGTTACGGTAATAATTTTTTTATAAATGCCATTGACAGGAAAGCTGCCTCATAGATATAGAAGCTTCCAAATTGTATCAGAATCCTGACAGTTTGATTTTTAACCGCTGAATGTCAACTTGATAAATAACCCCAAACATTGATATGTCATCATAGATGGCAAAGTTCATCCTTGCCTCGGTGTCAGCTTGTAATTCTGCTATTTCGAGGACAAAGGAGGCACACGGTTTTACATCTGTCTTGAACAGAAACTGAACAAAATCCAAAGATTCAGTAAGCAACTCGGGGAATCTATCATTTACATTTGCTGCCATTTTTTGTTGCATAACGTGTCATCAGCGTTCGCCTTCCCTGGACTGACCTGACTTGATATAAGTAGAGTAACTGCATTATTCCCTGGACCATAATTTATTGTCCCAACTTAACGAGACAGCACCTGGGCCATGTTCTTCAGTCCTTGACATCTGGACTATGAGCTCTATGGGACCCCATTGACCCTATGACCTCTATGCAACCCCTTATGATGCATCTTGTGACCCCATTTGGGGTCATAACCCTATGTTTGGGAACCACTGGTCTAGAATAAATTAATTTTGCACTTTAACTCCTTACCGTAGGATATTTCACCATAGAATATAAATGCTTTCTTACCTCATGAAATTAATTAAAATTGCATGAATAATATGTTTTGTGACAAATGTAAAAAAAAAAAAAAAATTTGGCAAAAATTAATGGACACAGGACTGCCAGCCAACATCCAACACTATATTGTATTGTCTTTGTCTCAGTGATTACATGTAGATAAAGTGGACCAAAAAACATGATGAATTATTTTGGTTTGGTTAGGTTAGTTTGGCTCATTTTATGAATGTTAGCAGTTGACAGTTGTTGTCAAACTACAGTGTACAGTGTACAGAGCTTTCTAACCTAACCTAAATTACAGGTATCCCTTGTATAGTGTTGCTGTAATTCACTTAATGTTAATTAAAAATCTGAAATTTGTGCAAATTAGGCTCACCTTTTGTTCACTAAATACTTTAATTCTGAACCACATCATTTATATAGAAGTTTGGTGTTCATAAATCAATCGTTTAACTTCAAAACAGTTAATAATAAACCATGTATTACAGTACTGTATTATTATTATTAGGGAGTACTGTACATTACTGCACTCAATGTGACATCCATGACACAACCACACTTAACTCTAACTAAACACAGACTCCGCTTTTCAAACTGTGTCAGCCCGCAAGGGATACCACAACTTTCATGACGTCACGCCTCATAGGCTTTCTCACTGGTCGAAGACAGGCCTGAGGCCTTCATACTATTGGCTCGAAATTGGCGGGAACTCTCAGGTGGCGGGAAATTCATGAATTAACTGCCCTACTGTTTGAACCTGTTGTTTTGCCCTCCCTGCTTTGCTATTATCCTTACGTAGCAATAATTTCACTTAGCGTCAGGTTTTTCAGGAACTCATTCCCATCATTAAACAAGAGATTCTCGCACTACAGTTATAATATATTTTTATGAGAACTGAAATGTTATGATTCTTCCACAAATGGAATTGATTACAATTACCTTGCAAGTCCATGAAGATGATTATGATTCCTTCCAAAAGTAATATACAGTACAATAATTGATTATGATTATTGTGCATTAAAAACTGTTATCATGATTTCTACAATTCTAAATCAGATAAATGAAAGAAATCAATGCACAATCACTGAAAGTTTATGGGACATATTCAGGAGACATTCATTCCAGACTCAGTTATGAACTGGAAGTTTAGGATCAATTCATCTTTTATTTTTGAGAAATAGACTCTTAACACAGTACCTATGTCAAAATCCATCTCGTACACCCTGTACAGGAGGTCCTCGACTCATGAACGCCTGCCGATACTATTGGGGTTAAACTTGAAATTTACAGTAGTATTTTATTTCCCTGATGACTTATTTTTTACTTTCATTTACTGTATTTTGTCATTCCAGTTCTTCTTTTGTCTTAAATTAAGTTATTTTAGATGTATATAAGGACTTAGGCTATGATATAGTGGGATTTTAAACATTGTTTTGTAAGTACTGTATGCACATAGCATGTTTTCTGACTTACAGGGTTTTTAAAAAATTCTTTCTTACTATATTTCAGGGCTGATTCTATCAACGTATGATGCACTGATGATCACAAAGCCACAAGGCTATGTACCTACTATAGCTACTTACATGAAGAGCACCATCCCTGCTGCAGCTGCTGGGGCAACATTTGCAACAGTGTCATGTGTATCAACCAATCTACGAGGGAAAGATGATAAAATCAATTATTTCCTGGGAGGAGCTGCTGCTGGTGGTGTGTTTGGAATAGCTGGTAAGTCTTTCTCTCTCTTTTTAAATTTGCTTTGGTGTTTATACACTGTATTGATGATTGCTTATGCTCTTATACATATGCATTTTCTTGTCTTCAGCATCACACTGTCCAATACTTGTTTGTACAGTATCTCATCAGTGTATTGAGTTGGCTGTGTGTATTCCCCCAAAATAGACATTAGTTCTCATATCACAGCTCTTGAAATTTTATTTTCATTTGTGAGAATGACCATCCTCTGGATTACACAGAAGTGTGTCATATCTGCATAAAATAAGAAAAACTACAGTTAAGTCATTTGGGGGCAGAGCATATGATTAGCCTATGATGTAGGCAGGCTGTGCAGATTATGTGTAACATTTACTTGTCCCGGGCAAGTGACTTTTGAAATTTACGTAATTGCCTGGATATTTTTTTCCTTGCCATGACAAATTATTGGGTGAAATTTGCTTGCCTGGATTTTTTTATGGGAAAATTTAAATAAACATCTTAGAACATTGAAACTTATTGTGTATCAACTCACAAGATCACTTGTGTATGAGTAAACGGTAATGATGTCAGTGGTGATAACCCTGGACATGTGATGTCATAATTTCTATCACCACACTTGCAGGGTGTGTGGGAAGGCAGAGGTGGCACCTGTGATCACCTACCATATCTACCGCCCACCACCAATAATCTAGTGTCAATGGCGGTAACACTAGTCATGTGACACTTGCGCAGCAGTGTTACCATTTATGGAATTTTGGGGGCATGGCATGGAAAACAATTGCGCATCGGTCATGGTCTTGGAAATGTTGGACGTCTTTCCATGTCACTGGATTAATTTCCACACTATTCAAGTATATGAAACTTTTGATTTTAAAACATAATAAATATGTTTAAAATACAGTACAGTACTTGTACAGTATATTAAGAAAGTGTTGATATTGGTTAATATCAAGTCGTTATTTGAGAGAGAACTGTGGAAAGTCGATGAATCGCAAGAAACAATAAGAAAGGCGCAATTTTATTCTGTTCCAGTAATGTTTTTCGTTGAGCTTTTGCTAAGGGAAGTGTCTACATACAACGATCATTTTAGTTTCTCTAATTCTTCTTTTAAGGCAGTAGAGAACGGTTTGCTTATGTTTACGGAAAATTTGCTACAGCCTGTTTAGTCTGTTTGAGATAAATTTAGAAGTACCTCTACTATGATATGAAAATAAATGCGGTGAAGCCAAAGAAAAGGTCATTGGGTTTATGGACTAAGTGTGGACAGATCTGCTGAAGCATTGTATAAATGTGATAGTTGTGGGATAGTAGAATTTTACGAGAAATTAGGAGAAATGACTGATAATGAGGGATCACATTGATTTAAGGTGTTTAGTAATTTATCCAAAGCTCAATTATATGAATAGTTATACTGTACGACGAATAACTTGTACATAAAAGTAACGGTGACAGTAACTCGTTACGTTTTTAAAAATGTAATGGCAGAGGTAATGGTGTTATATTTCTTCCGAGTATTGGTAATGCCATTACCTTTAGAAAGTACATGTAATGCACACAACACTGCATGGGCGGATCTGGGGGGGGGATGGGGGTGGGTTCGGACCTCTCCCCATTTTTATCCCAAAATTCCAATACACTGTATTTTGTATTTTTTCTTTAATGCAGTACAGTATTATACTCAGGTGTTTTTTGTATAGTAAAAAGTAATTACTATTGACCTCAGAATATCTCCTAATATCAAGTTCATATACATTCAGTCCTCGACTTACGACGGGGTTAGGGACCGACGACCGGGTCGTAAGTCAAATTGGTTCTTAAGTCGAAAATGCGAAAATAATACATAGAAAATCTAAAATCGATGTCTCTTTTTCTTCTCGGCACCACGAGAACTCTCACTTTTATGCTTGCCAGCCATTTTAAAGGGAATTACAAACAAAAATTTTGTCAGTACACAGCGCGATCACTAACGTCGGGACTCGAAAATACGTAATTTGAAAAATATTTTATAAGACTGCAGCGGTTGTATGTCCGGGTGGTCATAAGTCAAGGAGTACCTGTAGCCTCAAAATGCCCAAGATATTGGTCAGATTTAAAAAAACAATTCTGGGGGGCTTACAGCACCCCCTCAAAACCCTCCAGCTGGGTGGGCTAGCTGTGGTCGCTATGTTCTCTCACCCACAACGTCTTGGACCTCCCCTTTTGATATTCATGTATTCGACTCTGCACTGGTTTCTTTTGAAATTATCAGGGGATCAAGGTGGTAAAATTTGCTCAAGTTGTCCATAAATATATCTCAATCCAGACATACAAATGTACCCTAATGTATTTACTCTGGCTTACTGGGATCCAGAATATTTATTCTTTGCTTACTTGCTCTCTTGGTGTGTTGTGTAATGGATAGCTTTTGCTACTGTGCTGATTTTTATTCTTAAAAATTGGCTTTGCATGGAACTTTTTTTTCACCCTATCGATATGAATACAGTATACATGTTACTATTAATATTAGGTTTGGAACCTGTGGGTATGCCTTACAAAACTCATTTTCCTATGGAGTAGCTCTTTCAAGTAATGAAGCTATAACTTCCATGAGCACCTACGCTTAAAATCTGTTGAAGCGGATGTGTATGCTTGTGTGAAGGGTGATTTGATTTGAGTTATGTGTCAAAATATTTTGTTAAATGATCTTTTATTGTAACGGTCTTGTGGAGAATTTATTCAGAATCATTACAGTACCAAATTCATCTTTCTAACACAATTAGAACAGTTGCTGTGGATATAAGTTTATACACTTTTTCGCTATCCATAAATATTTTTGCTTGTGGCCGCAGCCTGTCACCCTAACAACTGGTGCTGTTGTCATTTTTATACCCAATCACTTGTACAAGAGTGCTGAAACCTGGTCACTGGCTGGTAGACTAAACTGCCTGAAATGCAATATGGAATGAAGAATAATGTAAAAATTTAATACAGTAGATTATGATCTTTAAGTAAATTGGCAAATGGCATATGGGAAGTAAATGTAGTTTAACCATTAATGTACTGTTATGATAAATATATCTTTTGTTGCTTATGATAATAGTTTTGCTGCCAAGACTCATGGAAATTTGCAAATACCCCGGTACTAAAGGCAGAGGTCTCAAATTGAGAGTTGGTATACATTTGTCAAATCACAAATACTGTATGTATGCAAAATTCATGAATCCAGAAACGTCAAATATTGAGGATCTACTGTATTATATCTAATGTTAGAATGGGTTATAGTTTTTAAGCAAATTAAGTTAAGTTACTATAATCATTCATGATCTGGTACACAGATAGTAATACTGTAAATAAGTTTATTTCCTTACAGTTATCTGTTGCATGCTAGTGTGTAATTACATGCTAATTAAGTTGTAACTTTCCAGCACGTACATTCCGAGTGGGTGTGCCACTGGGCTTTTTTCTGGGCTTTGCAGCCATAATCTACAAGGACTCAAAGGATGAAGGATGGTCAATTTTCCCTCAGACTGTGCACAAGATGGGTGCCATGGATCACAGACAGTTCAATTTTACCTTAACCCCAGACAAGTAATTTTCTTGCTAATAATGACAAAAGTTATCATTAAGATGATCAGGTTGGTTAGAGTTAAAATAATCTAACAAAGTTGAAGTTATCATTTAGATGAAGGGCTTTAATTTCAAAATTTATTTAAGATAAAATGAGAAATTTGAGTATTGTTGGTCATTCATCTTTACCATGTATAACTCCACTGTCACTAGTAGCCAACAGCCAATACAGCAGAAGGTAATTATTATTAAGCCTCTAATTATTTGTGTGTATCAATGTTGATGCATCACAATGTAAAACAACCTTGTAAATAAATGTTTTATTCTTTATGCTGTTTAATAGTATCTTCCTTATGAAACATTTAATTTAATATTTATCTTATTACAGTACTGTATATATCATACACCTTATACATATTAAGTTATCAAGCACGACATATTGTGAGACAACCATTGGATAACAGCTCCATGTAGAATTTCTATAAATTAAAGGTTTTTATTTTTGAAATTACAATATACAGTTGAAAGAGAGGCAGAATAATGTATCCTCTTTGGAACATGAGAAATTAACCATTAAATTGAAAGAGAAAAGAACAGTGATAGTGAGGAGGTGAGACTGACTGGGAAGTTTGGAGGAGTGGATGGAACCTCTGAGTAAATAAATATGGCAGGTGGAGAAGTAGTGGGAAACATGATGAGCACAATAATTCTTGTACCGTTTACACATTTGCCTCTCATAAACTTACTCATCACAGGCTCACTGCTGCCATTAATCACATATAAGGCAATTGTTGCCATTTTTTATTGTCGCCCCTCTGCTGCCATTAATCACATATAAGGCAATTGTTGCATTTTTTGTTTTTGCCCCTCTGGTGCCATTAATCACATATAAGGCAATTGTTGCCATTTTTTTGTTTTCGTCCCTCTGCTGCCATTAATCACATATACCGTATATCTCGGCCTACAAGACGGAATTTGAAAAAAAAAAAATCAGCCCAAAGTTAGGGGGTCGTCTTAAGCAACAGAGATAAAATTCTTACCTCTTAAATATTGCGGTTTAGCGTGGACCTGGTCTCACCCTCCTCTGTATATATACACCTTGATTTGTATTACTCTCTAGTCTGTACTCACCCCTGAAGACGTGAATTACACGAAAGCGCTTGGGAACTTCGTGTTTTCTTCTTTCCTTGTGGTTATCAGCATATACCTAGATCACGTGCACCTACAGTGATTTACTTGCATATATATATATATATATATATATATATATATATATATATATATATATATATATATATATATATATATATATATATATATATATATATATATATATATATATATATATATATATATATATATATATATATATATATATATATATATATATATATATATATATATATATATATATATATATATATATATATATATATATATATACACACACACACACACAGTCAATCCTCACATTACGCGGTCCCGCATTCCGCGTTTCACCGTTAACGCGGTGCCTTGCCAGAACCTAACATGCTCACATTCCGCGGTCGTGAACCCCATTACGCGGAGAGCGGCTGGCAAGCCGCGCCATTTTTCGATCCAAACCTTCCGCCATGTTGTGTAAGAGGCGCGAAAATGGTGCGCACAAGGTCGCCCAGTCATCAAAACATTACCAGTTCTTCACCCGCCACCCACTACAGCCGGCCCAAGTCAGTGATAGTGATAATTATAGTGAGGATATGGACTTATATGAACTTTGGGGGGTTTGACAAAGAGGCCCTGCAAGCCTCTGTGGTGGATAGTGATACAATTGATACAGGTGAGGGCCAATAATCTGCCCTCTGCCTCGGAACCAACCGCCCATCCCCGTGTGCCCAGCCATCTTTTCTACTAATGTAAGTGTTAAAAAACCTAATATTATTGATATTTCTCTTAATTATTAATTGTGTGTGCATGCCATCATAAAGTTAAGATAATATTTTTACTACAACATAGTTGTGTGTCGTCAAAAAGTGGAGTTTGGGGATCGGCCTGGACTCCATTTCAATTAATCCCATATGTTATGTTGTTCACTTTACGCGTTCCTCACTTTCCGCGGTACCCTCCGGGTTACATTAACCGCGTAATGTGAGACCCAACTGTGTGTGTGTATATATATATATATATATATATATATATATATATATATATATATATATATATATATATATATATATATATATATATATATATATATATATATATATATATATATATATATATATATAGATCTTCAATTCGTTAACGAAAAAATTAGGTTCATGAAGTTCTTCTGAACCGACCTCAACATGTTTTAACTTCACTGACAGGGCAACCAGCTTTAGTATCAGTCCGCCAATACATTAATCGGTTCTGGGGCTTAAATTCCTTACTATTTTAGTAAATATCAAGAGATTTATACTATTCAATAATTTAAAGTTTAATATTGAATTTTTTAGTCATTTAACAATTATTGAACATTGAAAAGGTAAAGTGACTAGTTTATCGTGGCATCCAGCCTCTTCACACAAAGCAGGAGTTAGTCTCTCTGTTTCACTGGAGGTAACATCTTGCTTGAGACTCTCTTCAACTAAACGCTTTTTCTGTGTTTCCAAGCAAATTATTGGTCATTTTGAAATATATTTTACATATTGATAATATATAATGCAGTGGAGTGTTGATTTAAAAAAAATAATCAATTACACCAGAGCTAAATTTATGGGTGAAATAAGGCATATGGGGTGACTTCTCTTCCACCCCAATGCCTTCTCTTCCTTCTCCTCCACCCCATTCTAAATCCATCATCATCATCATCATCCAGGAATCCTACCATCACACACCTCCAAGTAAGTGAACTTTCTACCATTTTGTTGAATTTAGGAAATTTTGGTGAGGTGGAACCACTCAAAAAACCCATTGAAACAATGGTTTGAGTTAACGAACTTTTCGGTTAACGAACGACATGGAGCAGTTGAGTTAGTTAACAAACTATATAATATATATATATATATATATATATATATATATATATATATATATATATATATATATATATATATATATATATATATATATATATATATATATATATATATATATATATATATATATATATATATGAATATTCTATATGAGCAGTTTGCCTATAAAATTGAGAATGCTATAGCAGACAGAAACTCCCCAACGAACATTATTTAAATTTTTTTTCTAATTTATTGTTTTTATTACAAATATTAATGATATTCTTTATTTCAGGGGTTTAGATGCATATTTATGCACTTTTACAATTTTACAATTTTATATTATATTTTTCAGTGTTAAGTGGTTGTATTTGGGGGCCTGACGGATTAATCACTATGAGCAAATGCTATCGAACAAGGTTCTAGAACCAATTAGATTAGTTATAGCATACACTGTATATATATATATATATATATATATATATATATATATATATATATATATATATATATATATATATATATATATATATATATACAGTTGTATACTTGTAGGTCATTGAACAGAGGTCCCGTGTTAGTGAAATCCGCGTTAAGTGAACAACAGAACATATGGGATTAATTCCAATAAAACCAGCCCGACCCCCAAACTCCACTTTTTGGCGACACATAACTATGTTGTGAAATATAACTATGATGGTATGAAAAAACAAGTAATATAGAAAGAGGTTGGGTTAGGAAAATAAAGGTTTAACATAGGAAAATGAAGGTTTAGGTTAGAGAAACTAAAGTTAGATGTAACACTTACAGTTGTAGAAAGAGATGGGTGGGCATCAGGGGATGGAGGCTGGTTCGAGGCAGGGCAGATTACTGGCCTCAGGTGAATCCATTACTAGGTGAATCACCATCACTGTCACTACAGTTGTCCCTGCCGTTAATAGCCCGGGTACTCATTCTTATGGCCCCCTACGCCGTTAATAACCCATAAAGCGTTACCACCTCATTTTATAGCCCCCTGCGCGTTAATACGCCCGTAAAGCGTTGCGCCCCACTCATTCTTATGGCCCCCTGCACGCGTTAATCGCCCATAGGCGTTTCGCCCTCATTCTTAGCCCCCCCTGCGCCGTTAATCGCCGTAGGCGTTACGCCACTCATTCTTATGGCCCCCTGCCGCCGTTAATCGCCGTAAAGCGTTGCGCCACTCATTCTTATGGCCCCCCCTGCGCGTTAATCGCCCGTAATGCGTTGCTGCCTCATATATATTCCCTACGCCCGTTAATGCATCCGTAGGCGTTGCCCACTCATTCTTATACTTGCCGCCGTTAATATCGTAGCGATTACGCCACTCATTCTTATCCTGCGCCCGTTAATGTCCGTAAAGCGTTGCCTACTCATTCTTATGGCCCTCCTGCCGCGTTAATCGCCCGTAAGCGTTGCACGCTACTCATTCTTATCTTTCGCGGTAATAAGCCGTAAAGCGTTACGCCCGCATTCTTATGGCCCTGCACGCCGTTAATCGCCCGTAAAGGCGATTGCCGCCTCATTCTTATGGCCTCCCTGCGCCGTTAATACACGTAAGGCGTTGCCGCCACTCATTCTTATAGCCCCCCTGCACCGTTAATGGCCCGTAGCGTTACCCTCATTCTTACCCTGCCGCGTTAATACCCGTAAAGGCGTTACGCCTCATTCTTATGGCCTCCTGCGCCGTTAATCGCCCGTAAAGCGTTACGCCACTCATTCTTATGGCCCCCCTGCGCCGTTAATACGCCCGTAAAGGCGTTGCGCACTCATTCTTATGGCCCCCTGCGCGTTAATCGCCCGTAGGGCGTTGCGCCCTCATTCTTATGGCCCCTGCGCGTTAATCGCCCGTGGTGCCCACTCATTCTTATGGCCCCCTACGCCCGTTAATGGCCGTGAAGCGTTGCACACTCATTCTTATGGCCCCCTGCACGCGTTAATCGCCGTGAGCGTTGCCGCCACTCATTCTTATATTTATACGCCGTTAATAATAAGTAAAGGCGTTGCGCCCTCATTCTTATGGCCCCCTGCGCGTTAATACGCCCGTAAAGGCGTTGCGCCACTCCATTCATGCGCCCGTAAAGCGTTCACGCCACTCATTCTTATGGCCCCCTGCGCCGTTAATCGCCGTGAAGCGTGGCGCCCACTCATTCTTATGGCCTTGCCGCCGTTAATCGCCGTGGCGTTGACGCCACTCATTCTTATAACTGCCGCCGTTAATACTCGTAAGGCGTTGCTACTCATTCTTATGGCCCCCTGCGCCGTTAATCACCCGTGGCGATTGACTCATTCTTATGGCCCCTCCGCCGTTAATGTCCGTGGCGTGCACACT